AAGGGGACAGAGTCGCAAGCTTCAGTGCAGAATATCCCCCATGGCGGTGCATTAATTATTGGAAGAGCTGTTGGACACTCTCTATCAGGCTGATGGCCAGCACTGATGGGTTCATACCCTGTGCAACTGGGATGAGCCCCCTACAGCACTGCTGCTTCTACTCCTACCCCTCTCAACAACGAGCTCGAGGATTGAAAACCCGAACTTCGGATCTGCTACCGGCACTTACAGGTTCAGACCCGGTGCTCTCGGGGTGAGACTCCTACAATAGGCGAGTCACATTAACCGACCGAAGGAAGTCTTATGGCAACAGCCTCTGTCTACAGCTGAAGGAATACCTCCATTGATAATTAATCATGATACGGGATGGGTTTATGCCCTGTATCTATTCTGCGGCCTGCAGTTAAAGGCCCACGCCCTATGCCCTGGGCCCGGCTAGGCGTGCACTGCACTAAAATACCGAACAGAGTCATGCGGTTACAACCGCTGAACAGGAGTTCCGAGCCGCCTTCTTAACAATATATATTCCCCTTGACTGACACTCTCTATCAGGGCGATGGCCAGCACTTAAGGTTTCATACCCTGTGCACCCGAGGTGAGCCCCCACTATACGTGCACTGCACGGTGCTGCTATGGCAACCTCTATGTACTGGGTGAGCCCCAGTCTGTTTTATTTGGCCACGATTCGGAATAAGACCCGCAAGGGTTTCCGTGAACACTGCCTACTGTCATAGACTCTTGCTTAGAATGTCCATATCCGCTGACAGTCGGACAAACCCATGCCCTTCCATGCCGGTCAGACTACTATAGTGACCAACGGAGGAGGTCTTTCAGGATTCACGACCTTACCATGGGCGATGCTGTACACTGCAAAACATCGTCCAGGAACGGGCATACAACTTGGGTATATGGACTCAAAAAACTGTTTCTGCTCCTCGCAGGAAACCCCAGTCTTGGCCTCTCCCATAGGATGCCCAAAGCAGCACTCCTCCGCACTGACGGATGGTTGGCAGTACTGGGCGCCAAGATAGTCGGAACCCTAGGCACAAGGCACAAAGTTCCGAAGGGAACTTATTAGACATGCAAGGGTCCCACGGCTTTCATAAGGGCCCAAACCCCTAGGAGGGAGGTGTTATGCGATTACCTTTACAAGGGATTCTTTGGAACCGGTTGGCAACAGAGCCGGTCGTCTACCACTTCGGGACATCTGACCCGAGATCTGCTACCGCTAGCTCTATTACCCAAATAGAGCGAGAGTCAACCAATGGTGCGCCATATAAGCGGTCAGAGAAGACGGTACGCACAGATACCATCAATATACCTCCTACTACATCCACAGGGGATTTCACCACATCTAGGTGAAAGGCACTCAATCCTGGAGAAGACCACTTTCACGTAGTCAACCGACTAGCGTTCAGGACCTAACAACACGTCAGGATGGTCTTCTTCCTTCTCGCTCGACCACCTTACCCAGTTTTCAGGAGACATCCTCTCCTTCCCAATCCAGTAGCTCGGAGCCTGGTGGGCCCTGATAAACTACCGAAAGAAGTAATGAATAAAGGCGGGGCAGATGAGACACTCTCTAACGGGAGAACCTTATTCAGATCACTCCAGGGAACTGAAAACTCGTCAACACCCACGTTAATCAGAGAACCGTCTGGAACCTCCAGACTTGTAGAAGACTATTTGCTCAGAGGATTCGTAGACTATTCCACAACTTGGGAAAATTCGCACGACTCTCCACGGCACCACCGCGACCCTGTACTTCTTGGTCCTATACTTCACAATACATGGATAAAGAAGTACTAGATCGGCTGCACCCTACTGCAGGTAACCACAGATTTCACATCCACCGGGATGGACCAACTCACGTTTATCAGACAACATGTAGGCTCCTTTGATCCCCGTCTTCTTCACAGAAGATCCTGGGGGAGACATATCTCATAGGGGCCAACTGATTTGGATATTACCACTCGTCACAGTATTAGTCGAGGTTCGATGGTGATTGCGTTCCGTCCGACTTATGCTTCTCATGCTTACAAGGTCTACAGAAATTCTCGAGCAGGCGAGGATCTTCTCCTGCTACATTCATGACCGACAATTCCTCATGGAGCCGTAGAGTACTCACATCTTCTATCCCGGGAGGGTCGGCTACCTGGGGACCTGGACCCGCTTTGGGGGTTTCTTGGCAGGTCAGCGGATGATCGCAGGCTGCCAGGGACCTCTTGGGAATCTGGGAACCCAGGGATGCGACAACCCTATTGTCAGGGTCTTACCTGGGTTGGGAGTCTGTAGCGCAGATATGTTGCTCACCCTTGCAGATAGCCACAGGCCTAGGTGGTCAGGTAAGAATTCACCCGGCCTGTGGGTCTGTGCACGGGGGCTGTGCAGGATGAAGTACCAAGTCGCAGGACAGGCAAGGACTCAAACAGCAGGATCGTCAAAGGATGCCAGAAGACAGGAACAACGAGGAGTAGCCAAAGTCAAGGGATGCCAGAGGTCAGAGTAAACGTAGTTAGAAGCCGGGGTCAATAACAAGTAGCAGCTCAAACGACAGGAACACTGGTACAAAGCACACAACAGGATCAAAGACTTGATGCTGATCACAGGGCGAGGCTGAGTTTAAATACCCTGCTAATGTCTGATCAGGGTCAGGTGAAGCACATCCAAAGTAATAGACATGCCAGGATGAACAGGACCAGAATGACATGTGGAATACAAAAGCTGTTGTGGCTCAGAGGAAGGAAGCAGGACCAGGACTGCAAAGTTCCCCGGTTCAAGTCCCTTGTTGGGAACTCCATGGGTGACCACGTCTGGCCGTCTGTTTGCTGCGGCGAGAACCTTGACACCGATCTCTACATCTGGACATTCCCAGCCTGTCTGGTTCGGTCCTGCATCTTGATCCCTTATGTGAGGATGGAGACGGCACTGCAGCCCTTATCACTACCTCTAGGATACCAACTACCCAATGTCATACCTCTCCAGCTTATGAGTTGTGGAGGTCATTCTCCTTTCACTCTACGGGACTAAACACCCTGCTGACAAACAGTCATACTTGGTCTTGTATAATTGCTTATTAGATGGTGTGGGTGCTCAACAGGGAAGACCTCCCCACAACGCCGAATACTGGGTCTCTCGGCACACCGTAGGACTTATTTAGTTCTATACTCTTTTCTCAGCGTTAAAAATGCAAAATACGACAGCCTCCTGTCATGCGGTAAAATTGAAGATTATGCTAGATTTAATGTACTTATAATCTTAATTTTAATAATGACAGGAGGCAAGTATTCCCACCGCTGCCCACCCTTTCTATTCATTTGCTTTGCAGATATCAGGGGCTAAGGTAGGTTTGCCTCTCACATTGGTGCTTATATGATATGTTCGTACTTCATTCATATGGAATTCTCATTAGAGTTCTCATTACAATTACTCAGTTATCAGATTATAGTTACTATATTATCCAATGGGATGTTAGGTGGTACGTTAATTGGAGTTACATGGTTGTGACTATGTCTAAACCTGTCACCCATTTTCTTTTCAGTATGATTCATCTCTGAAGATAATTGGCAGTTCATGTGAAACTATTGGAGATTTTATCCTTTGGATTTATCTCAACCCTGAACTCTTTTTCGTTGTTCGTATAGAATTCTTTGGAAGTTTGCTCCTTCGCACATGGAAACTTGGAGTTATTATTAGTTTTATTGTTTGCTATATATTTACTTCTGCTTGTTGTTGCTTTCTGAAAGAGGAAATGATGAGGTCACATTCCCTTATGTACATCCTGCTCTCCTGTGATTGGTTCTTTTTTCTATGTGTTTCTTTACTGCTGTATGGAGTTAGTAAAGAGAGATATGCAAAATACTTGCCTCCTGTCATTATTAAAATTAAGATTATTAGTACACTAAAGCTAGCATAATCTTCAATTGTACAGTGTGACAGTTCAAATTACTACATGAATATATTCCATTTGTGAAAGAGTATATCATGGTATATTTTGAGTATTTTAGTACATCTATTTTAGCACAAGTTTGTTTCAAAGTTTTAAGCAATATTTTATTTTAGAAGGTTGTTTTACGAGCACATTGAAAATGATAGATTTATGTAAACTTAAAGTGTGCTACTGTAAAACTGTCATGGTTCTCAACATGACATCTTTCTGCCTCTGCCTTGCCTCTGGGCCACACTTCAGTCCTTGTGTCTGCTTAAAGGACCACTCTAGGCACCCAGACCACTTCAGCATAATGAAGTGGTCTGGGTGCCAGGTCCAGCTAGGGTTAACCCATTTTTTCATAAACATAGCAGTTTCAGAGAAACTGCTATGTTTATGAATGGGTTAAGCCTTCCCCCTAATCCTCTAGCGGCTGCCTCATTGACAGCCACTAGAGGCGCTTGCGTGCTTCTCACTGTGATTTTCACAGTGAGAGCACGCAAGCGTCCATAGGAAAGCATTATGAATGCTTTCCTATGTGACTGGCTGAATGCGCGCGCAGCTCTTGCCGCACGTCCGTATTCAGCCGAGGGGGAGGAGAGAAGGAGGATCGGAGGAGGAGAGCTCTCCGCCCAGCGCTGGAAAAAGGTAAGTTTAAACCCCTTTCCCGTTTCCAGAGTCGGGCGGGAGGGGGACCCTGAGGGTGGGGGCACCCTCAGGGCACTATAGTGCCAGGAAAACGAGTATGTTTTCCTGGCACTATAGTGGTCCTTTAATGTTTATCCTCGCCTTGTCTCCAGCACTGGGGGCTGGACTTTACCCGTGGCTGTCTAGCCCACCTGAAGCAGATCATTAATTAGCTGGGTAAATAAGCAATGCCTCACGCTGATAACTTTGTCAGTTCATTGACTCTGGTTCCTGTATGTGTTCTTGATCCAGTGTTCTCGGGACCAGATGGCTCCTGATCTTGATATTTCTCATAGTTTATCCTGACTTTGGCTTGTCCTGGACTATCCTCCTGCTTTTTTCCTTACCTGTACTGCAACTTGGAGCTATATCCTGCACAAACCCCATGCATAGACTCACAGCCCAGGTGGCTTCTTATCTGGTCACTTTGGTCTGTGTTTAT